TCTGAATCCCATGGGAATGGGGTCTCCATCCCCCTTGATATCCCATGGGAATGGGGTCTGAATCCCGTGGGAATGGGGTCTGAATCCCCCTTGATATCCCACAGGAATGGGGTCTGAATCCCATGGGAATGGGGCCTCCGTCCCCCTTGATATCCCGTAGGAATCGAGCTTCCATCCCCTGGAAATGGGCTCTGAATTCCATGGGATCGGCACCTCGTCCCATGGCACCTCATCCCGTCCCATCCCCACGGGATTCACCCCCCCCCTTCCCATCCCCTCCCTCCCTTCCCAGGAACCCCGAGCGACCCGGAGATCGTGGAGCTCGACGACGACGCCGGCGCCGGCCCCGACCCCGACGAGGATTCCCGGGAAACCCTCCGCTGGACGGTGGTGCAGCAGATCGAGCCCGGCGGCAGCTCCCCCTCCGCCCCCGCCGGCGCCAAATCCGGCGCCTCCTCCTCCTCCCTCTCCTCCTCCTCCTCCTCCTCGGCCTTCTCCAGCCTGCGCAGCATCATCGTCCTGCAGAAGAGCTACGAGTGCCGGGACTGCGGGAAGAGCTTCAGCTGCAGCTCCCACTTCCACAAGCACCGGCGGACGCACACGGGGGAGCGGCCGTTCCGCTGCCGCCACTGCGGCAAGAGCTTCAACGTCAGCTCCAACCTCTACCGCCACCAGCGCGCCCACGGCGCCGGCCCGGCAACGCCCACACCGGCACCCACACCGACACCGACCCCGAGGGCGCGCGGCCTCGCCTACGAGTGCCAGGAGTGCGGGAAGAGCTTCAACGTCAGCTCCAACCTCCTCCGGCACCGGCGCGTCCACGCCGCCGGCCCGGCGACGCCGACGCCGACACCAACGCCGAGGGCCCGCGGCCTCCCCTACGAGTGCCGGGAGTGCGGGAAGAGCTTCCGGCGCAACAAGGAGCTGGCGACCCACCAGCGGCTGCACACGGGGCGCCCGCCCTTCCAGTGCGGCCACTGCGGGAAGGGCTTCTCCTGGAGCTCCCACTGGGAGCGGCACCAGCGCGTGCACACCGGCGAGAAGCCCTACCAGTGCCCCGAGTGCGGCAAGAGCTTCAGCCGCAGCTCCCACCTCTACCGGCACCAGCGCGGCCACGCCGGCGGCCGCTCCTACATCTGCACCTACTGCGGGCGCAGCTTCGGCAGCACCCTGCACTTCGAGCGGCACCAGCGCACCCACACGGGCCAGCGGCCCTACAAGTGCACCCTGTGCCGACGCAGCTTCGGCGACGCCCCCGCGCTGGTCAAGCACCAGCGGCTGCACCTGGACGGGCCCTTCCGCTGCGAGGAGTGCGGGAAAGCCTTCGGCGCCCGCGCCCAGTACGCGCGGCACCGCCGCAGCCTCCACGGCGCCGGTGCCGGTGGCGCCGGTGGCGTCGGCGCGGGCGGCGCGGCGGAGAAGCCGTACCGCTGCGGGGACTGCGGGAAGAGCTTCTCCTGGAGCTCCCACTGGGAGAGGCACCAGCGGATCCACACCGGGGAGAGGCCGTACCAGTGCGGGGACTGCGGGAAGCGCTTCGGCCGCACCTCCCACCTGTACCGGCACCAGCGCACCCACGCCGGCGGCCAGCCCCACGTCTGCGCCGAGTGCGGCAAGAGCTTCAACAGCACCCTCCACTTCCACAAGCACCAGCGCGCCCACGCCGGGCCCCGGCACGGCTGCGCCGACTGCGGGAAGGCCTTCGCCGACGGATCGGCGCTGGCCAAGCACCGGCGGGCCCACGGCTCGGGGGGAGGAGGAGGAGGAGGAGGGGTGGGGGGGGGAGAAGCCCTTCCCGTGCCCGCGGTGCGGGAGGAGGTTCGGCGGCACCTCCCACCTGCGGCGGCACCTGCGCAGCCACGGCGAGCGGCAGGAGGAGGAGGAGGAGGAGGAGGCCGAGCCGGTGGGCTGAGCGGCTGTTCCGGCGTTCCCGAGGGGCCGCCGGGTGAGCCCGGACCCCCCGTGGGGTCGACCGACGTTCCCGTCGAGTCGGGCGGAGTTCCGGCGTTCCGGAGGGGCCGCCGGATGAGCCCGGTTCATTGGGTTGGCCAACCTTGATGTTGACCCGGGAAGGACCCATTCCCAACGGGAATGTTCCGGAGGGGCCGCCGGATGAACTCGACTCGTTGGGTTGGCCAACCCTGACGTTGACTCGGGAAGGACCCATTCCCGATGGGAACGTTCTGGAGGGGCCGCCGGACAAACTCAACTCGTTGGGTTGGCCAACCTTGACGTTGACTTGGGTAGAGCCCCCGTCCTGGTGTTCGGAGGTGCCGCCGGATAAACTCAGCTCGTTGGGTTGGCCAACCTTGACGTTGACTTGGGTGGAGGCCCAATTCCCGACGGGAATCCCGGTGGGATCGGGTTGTTCCGGCGGCACCGAGGGCGTAGTTTTCGTAGGGTAGAGTAGGAAGGGTGTAGAGTAGAGGGTGGAAGGAGGAGCCGAGTGGGAATTCGGGAGTTTTCCAAGGGGGGAGTTTTCCCTCTGGATCAAAAGATGATAAAAGATGGAATCCTGCCGAGGGAAAACCCAGCCGGGCTCCTGCTCCGGGGGGATTCCGGGAGAAGCCACATCCGAGGTCGGAGCTCTTGGAGGTGCCACCAACTCGTTGCCAAGCTCGGAGAGACCCCAAAACGTGGGATGGATTCGCCCCGGGATCGTCCCAGATTCCACATCCAGCCTCGGCTGACGCCCACTCGGAGCGTGATGATGTCATCAAGGATTTGGGGCAAAAAACCCCACCAATTTGGGGGAAAAAAATCAGTTTGAGGCAAAATCCCTCGATTTGGGGTAAGAACCCCAATTTGGGGCAAAATCCCCTGGTTTGGGGGGAAAAATTCCCTGATTTGGTGGGTTTCGGTTGAGGAAGAAGCCGGATTGTCCCAACTCCGTCGTGTCCCAAAAATTTGGGAAGTTTATTTATTGTATTTATTCAGCTGTTGGTTTAGGAGAATCCCAAGGGTTGGGACAATCCCAAGGGTTGGGACAATTAGGGTTGGGACAATTCCAAAGGCTGGGATGATCCCAAAAGTTGGGATAAAGGGCAGATTCGTCCCAACCCGGCGGCTCCTCCTGGGTTGATCCGTGGGACTGGAACGGCTCCTCCAGGAGCATCCAGAGGGAATTCCCAGCTGGAAAAACGGGGATCCTCGGGATGAACCTCAGGAGCGGGAGCAGGACGCGAATCCGGGGGGGTTTTTCCCGGTGGGTTTGGGGGTCGGATCCGTCTCTTCCCAAGGGAAGCAGGAGCTGTGTTTGTTTTGTGAATAAAAATAGATTTAGTGGGAAAAGCCGGAGCGTCCTCGGAGCTTTTCCCGGGAAACTGGAGGTCGGGGGTCGCCTGGGGTTGGGGGGGGGGATGTGTCCGAGAACGAACCCCACATTCCTGGAAAATCTCGGGAAACTCCTCGGGGGATTCCTTGGGCATCTCTTGGGAATTCCTTGGGAATTCCTTGGCTCCCCCTTCCCTCGGAGGGTCCCTGGGGAGCTGAGGCGTCGGGGGGGAGGAGGAGGAGGAGGAGGAGGAGGGGGGAATAGGATGAGAGACCCTCCCCAAAATCCCTCCCTCCATCCCTCGGGATTCTCCAGGGTCCGAGAGAGGGAGGGGAGGGAGAGGGGGATGGGGGGGGAGGGAGAGAGGGAGGAGGAGGAGGGGGGAGAGGGAGGAGGAGAAAGAGGAGGGAGAAGAGGAGGGAGAAGGAGGCGGGAGAGGGAGGAGGAGGGAGAAGGGGGGAGGAGGAGGAGGGAGGAGAGGGAGGAGGAAGAAGCGGAGGAGGAGGGAGGAGGGGAGGGAGAAGGGGAGGAGGAGGAGGACAAAAAGGAGGGGGAGAGGGAGGAGAAGAAGGAGGAGGGAGGGGAAGGAGAAAGGGGGAGGAGGAGAAAGAGGGAGGAGGAGGAGGAGGAGGGGGAGAGGGAGGGGAGGGAGAAGGGGGGAGGAGGAGGAGGAGGAGGAGGAGGGGGAGAGGGAGGGGGGAGGAAGAGGAGGCCGAGGAGGCGGCGGCGGTTTCTCTGTATCCGGGTCACGCCGGGAGCCGCCTCCAGCGGGACCGGGAGCGGGA